TTAAACGACAAGAAACTGTTTTTTCTCCAAAAACCTTTACCCTATAACACTGTGACGTAACAGCACATTTACACTGGGGGCAGAATCGATAAAAAGAATTGAATTTTCGACTAAGTCTTCTTTGTCTTCAAAGTTTGGTTTCAAATTGTCTAGTTTTCATACATTTTATGCCGTGTCAATGTTTATCCTTCGATATTAATACCTTAATATTTTCCTTCTAAGTAATCGAGTTCAAGTTTTCCAAACGTGAAGTTGGTTGTCATCCACTTACTATCACCTTTCCGTATTTGTTTTTTTCCCTTTCATTTGTCTTAAATCGCGTCCGCATAAATCTAAGGTACTTTTTTTCCATTATGACGTCACATATCACGTGACCTCATAAAAATTAAATAGCGCTCAGCAAATTATATCATTTTTATCGAAAACTAGGGAATATATTCAACGTGCGAAGCCTTATCTTTTAAAGTTTCCTATATTGGACCTTATAAAGTATACCTATTTTGGACCTATATTGTTTTGACCTCGCCCCTAATTATAGTGTGGTATTGTGTGATCTCCTACGTTCTGTTTCATAAAGTTCTGTTTAGACATTAATGCACACCAGCTTAGTCAATCCATGATTTACTTTGTATTTAACAGTGATACAGGTCCTGGTGAAGAAGAAGAATCGAGTGAAAGGGATGCTGCACTCGATACTGGCACCGCTGATGATAAAAATCATGTGGGTTTACAATTCATCCCTTCCTCCTGGAAGTTGTTGTGTCGGAAAACTTTGGCTTTATTAGTAAGTTGACTGAATAAAGGTACTTAGTGCATATAGACCCCTTGCATGGCGGTGACGTCAAAGCAACTCAATTTGGAGGACAAAACAAAAGAATTTCAATCGCATGAGATGGGAAACCTTTTGTTATGTCCTCTAAATTGTGCTGCATCCCGACGTGCTGCAAGGAGTCTATTGCGAGAGTACACTATAGACATTGTGTGCATCCATATGACTCAAAATCCCTTGAGATCTGAATAACAATGAAACAGCCGCCATCTTGGTTGATCTAACATGAGAAGCTAATGAGGAATGCTTTGTTATCGTTAACCACGATGGTGGTGATRACGTAACATGCACATGCTCTATACACTTTTTTAGTAAATGGTATCTTATTTACTCACTATAGAAGGCAAATTTTCTTCCCTTATTGCCAACAGACTCTAAAAGCTAGAAATCTTTTCCTGGATCCAGAGGGTACGGCATACTACAATTGGATGGTAAATTATATTCATTCTGAAGAAACAGAATTGCGCGCGATTGCTGTGTGCAGTTATAAAGCACGCGGGTTGGAAGAACACGAGAGAAGTGTTAGGAGAAGTACGACGCGTAGCTGAGTGCTTCTCCACCCTTCTCGAGTGTTCTGCCAATCTCCAAGTGCTTTATAACTCCACACACCACAGCACAGCAAGCACGTTTTTTTTTTTCTTTTATAAAATAAAAATTAATTACAGGAATGGCGAAACTGTAAGCGCGCGCGTGTGCTGTGTGCTCTCATAAAGCACGCATTCCCAACCAATCAGAGCGCGAGATTTAGAAGTTATTAATAGATACCTTTATATAAAGATTCTTAGGTTGAAGAAACTSTTTCCCCTTTATTGCCAGTTAATGGACTTTTTGAATAATGATCCAAGCCCGTCATCCAAACGAGTCTATAGTTCAAATTGAATAGAAAATTTGTGGTATATGATATTTGGCTCATATAATAATTAGGGAAAGCGTGCAGTGTTAACCTTCGATTAGTAAAATARGTAATATATCCAACATATTAGTAATAATAAAAATGATAAGTAAATGAAGATTAGAGTGCTCACACTAAATCCGTGAAACAAATACTAATTTTTAGCTCTAAATAGTGATAATTAAACAATAGAATACAAAGGAATCTGTATGAAATAGTACTAATTAGTACTATTTAATGTTCACGGTTTTAGTGCGTGCACTCTATTACAAGTTAAGAGCTTATATAGTTTTTATACGAGTGAGTGAGCGATATGAAAATTGACAGTTTGCATTTTACCGTGAATGGATAGTGTATCACTTCATTGATATGGTTTTTATTCACAGCTTTATCACACAGATATCGACCCTAAATTTGTAATAAAATAAAATAACTGATATATTCTAATATATCCACAGGGTGCAATGACAGTAGCTATTTTTTACAACTTTTGGGCCATCATCCTTAGAATTGCTTTCCTAGAAGTACGCTCTGAGGTATGTGGTACATAGTCTACTCTACGACGATGTCTGTCACAGCGAAAGAGAAATCCCYCAGCAAAATATGCTTTAAACATCAACTTAAAACCTTATTTGGGTTATCAATACTTAAACTTTAGGCTTTTTTTTCTCTCTCTCTACCAGCCATTATTTTGTACTATTTTGTGGCCTTTGGACATGGTGACTGATATTATGTACCTCAGTGATATATGGCTACAGCTACGAAAAGCCTTTCGGGATGATCAAGGAATTATGGTATGTAGAATTGGAACTAGCTTTGAGAGTCCTTACAAACTTTGACTTTGATGAGTGGACGCTAGAGAAAAACGTTTGCGCATGCGTGCCTTTCAGCACTTTTTTCCTACGATTTTAGAAGAGTTTGAGTGAGAAAATAAATGTTCGTTTTCTCCTAGTATACAAAAGAATATTTGCGAGTATGATTTTGTGAGACCAAGATACTGTATTGATAAAGGCAATATGAAAGAATTAGCCTTAAGTTCCATGTGAAGTCCATTTGTCAGGCAGGTTGAAAGTCAAATTTACATATTTTTACAATGGCCCACTTTCAAGATATCCTTCGCTTGTCACACACAAAGGTTTCAGTACTAGGCTACGTGCTAAATTAAATTCATTCTTTTCTCCTTTCATGAATCACTGAGCATTAAGCACGAAGCTTCACATTGAAACTTTTGTGTGTAACAAGCGAAGCATATTTCTGAAATATACTATTCCTAATTCGACTAATTTGCATATGGACTTGGAGCATGGGTAGACGTTTTTCACCCATGTCTGATGCGTGTATATATTTATGTCACYTTGATAAGCTAAAGGGTTTTTCTTTGCCCTTCTCTATGCACGATTTCTCTCYCATTGAAATAATATAAAGGAACCGGCCTTGGATCACGGTGCATGGCATTTTCAAAGCGTAAAAACTATGCTCTGATGGTGGTTCTGGAAAACTTTTACCAACAGATAAATGACCCCATTAAAATGGCGCTGAATTACACAAGTAACTTGGTGTTTGTCACGGACGTGTTATCAGTCATTCCCTCGGAAACAATTGGTTTGCTTTTGTCAGGTAAGAAAAGCCACTGCGTAGACTGATCAAATAYATAATTCACAAAAACCGTGACGAATAGAGAAAACGTACCAAGCTCGTTTGCTGTTACTCCCTTCATAGATGAGACGCAATCGATAGAGAGACATATAATGTCCAAGACTATGTAAATGATATTTTTTTCAACTTGTTCTCAGGAGACCATTCACCGTTATTCCGTATCCCCCGGTTATTCAAGTGGCAATGCATCGTAGAATTCTTTGAAGTCAGTGACCTGCGAACCAGTAAACCAAACCGCCTCCGAGCATTTAAACTAACTCTTTACTTGGGAATGGCAATTCATTGGGTTGCCTGTGTGTATTATATGATATCTGAATACGAAGGACTGGGTTCTAATAGTTGGGTGTATCCGGCAGCTAGCGGAAAGGATGGGAGATTCTCAAGGTCAGTGAGTAGAATACATGGAAAGAAATTAAAGGGCTATTTACATTAATTCAATCTTTAACTTGTGTTTATTTTTCATCAGAAAATACATCAAGTCCCTTTATTGGTCCATATTGACGCTCACCACAATAGGGGAGACACCAGAACCTATTACTAACTTGGTAAGATATTAAGTACACACATAGATATTAGTACACACATTTAACATAGTTGTAGTGCACCTCTGGGGTCTGCATTCTCGAATACTGGACTATGTATCATGAGCAGATCCTGTTGGGTCTCTCCATCAACGTACGAAACATCAAGTGTGAAAATGCACTGATATGTATTCAGTTTCATGTCCATCTTCCTCCCACCTCCCTGCTTGATTGAAGGAGTTTAATCCAGGTTCTCCGAATTTGCTCCCTCAGCAAAACTTCTAACAAATCAAATTCGATATGTGAGTTAATTCATTCCTCAGCCGTTCCTCTTAACTAAATCAGCCCATACTCAATTTTACATCTCCCAGAGAATAGACCCCTTACAGCGCGCTGGAATGCAGCTCAATTTGGAGGACATAACGATAGGTCTCCAATTTTCAGGAGATTGGAATTATTTTGTTTTGTCCTCCAAATTGAGCTCCTTTGACTTCACATGCAAGGGGTCCGCAAACAGTTTTCTTTATTCTCTTAGATTATTAGTTCACTAATCTTACAGTGACAATGTGACATAGATATATTTTTCCGAATTACTTACCACTGACAGGAGCACGTGTTCACCAGCTTCATGTTCTTACTCGGTATCTTTGTGTTCGCTGCTGTGGTCGGTAACGTTGGTGACGTCATCAGTAATATGAATGCCGCAAGGACAGACTTCCAAATCAAGTTAGTGACGTCATTTTTTCTAGCTTCACTCACATCCCAACGTTTTTTAAAACTTCTCAATTCATGTAGGTCATTTTAGGGAGCTTACGTACGTTTTGCTTGGACGTCATGCTTTCCAAATCTGAAACGTTTCAAGTTTGAAATGGAACTTTTAAAATAATTTCAATCTTTGAATATTGATTAGTTTTTTAAAAAATCAGTCTACACTATCCCGTTAGAATTTTTTGTTATTTTGCCGTCCATACCGCTGTTGGCTCTTTGTTCAAGTACGATCAAACTCGGTTCTTACTGCAGACCCGCCTACTAGCTGTAGATTAATTTGAATATTCCTAAACAGGCCCCAGTGTCTGTGTCGCGCGCCGAATAAAGAGGCAACAAAGGAGTTGGAGAATCTTATCTTGGATACTAATGAGAAACTCTCGTATATTGATGASAGTGTGTTTTTCTGTACAGGATGGATTACATCAAATGGTTCATGGAGCATCATGGAGTACCAGTGAGTGTACAGCAACGAGCAAAGAAATGGGCTTATTATGCTTGGAGTCGGTACGTTTCCTCTTATCATCCTTTTGCTTACACGCAGTTCAAAACTTTCAAACAATTTCAGTACAAGCCAGAACTTGCAGTTCGCACCGATTTCAGGTTTTAACTGAGCACTTTTGATAACAGAAATATAACACAATTCAGTAGGAATAGAATTTTATGGTTWAAAAATATTGCACAAAATACCGAAAAATAAATAAGGAAAGTAGTACGTAATTATTCTTCGTAAAGCACCCATACAGCAAAATGCGTTGTATGCGCGATATAGCTAACAGAAAATTTTTTTTCTCTGTCTATGTGATGTTACTGTTTTGTTTGACTATAGGGCCCATGCCTTCCATGAAGGTGACGCAATGGACATGCTTCCACAGCGCTTAAGAGCAGAAATAGCCATCCACGTACATCTGGCAACACTGAAAAAGGTAGGTATACCATTCATAGTAAGACACCATAGTTGTTACACCCAAAGATTTACGACTGAAATAATCATTCTTCTTGATTGAATTTTTTCAGGTAAAAATTTTCAAGGATTGCGATGAAGGTTTGCTGTGTGAACTTGTTCTTAAGCTACGCCCTCAGATCTTCTCTCCTGGAGACTATATCTGTAGRTGTCGAGAAATAGGTGAGTAATGCTGCCCCTACCTTTGATTTTGAGTTTTGTTGATTAAATAATGCGTGGGTTATCAGAAACAGCTGTGTTACAGCTGCACCGTGTTTGCGAGACTTTATTTTCAATATGTTATTATGCGAGTATTAGGACCGTTCCGATTTAAAAAGTGGTCCTTTCAATGGATGTGAAATAGTCATGGTCTAATGGAGTTCACATATGGTGAAAGGACCTTTTCGATTATGAAAATGGTCCTTTCAATGGATGTGAAATAGTCATGGTCTAATGGAGTTCACATATGGTGAAAGGACCTTTTCGATTTTGAAAATGGTTCTTTCAATGGATGTGAAATAATCATGGCGTAATGGAGTTGACATCCAGTGAAAGGACCTTTTCGATTATGAAAAGGTCCTTTCAATGGATGTAAAATAGTCATGGTGTAATGGAGTTCACATAT